TTTTCTCGGGGAACCCTCACAGAAGTACCCACATCCAAGTTAAATGAACTGCAATCCAAGAACCTCACATCCTTGAATTCTGCATTTATATAAATTCCTTCCAAAGTCGCCATTTAGAGCCTGTACACACTAAGCATTTTTCAACGCGTGCTTTTAAACGCGCGTTTATGCGCATTTTAAAGAACCAAGAGTTCTATGTAGCCGTACACACTCAAACGCACGCTTTTGGCCAAGCGCGCGTTTATAGATTTTTGTTAAAACGCGCATTTTGCGGGCATTAGCCGAGCGCTTTGAGATATATGTGCTGCCATGTTACCGTACATGCAATCGCGCGTTTTCCCGGCACTTTACGAGCGCTTCTAGATTTGCGCCGCCATTTTGCTGTATATTCGATCGCGCGCTTTTGGGTAATATCTACTTTTATAATATGGAGTAAGTCGTCAAATGATTTTATAGACATTTTAAAAGAATTAAAAAACTTGAATTTATTTTGTCTTAGTTTTAGATACAACGTCGCAAACATTTCATGCGTCAGTCTATCTCGTAATATTGCGTGCACCCAAAATTCTCTTTGCCTCTGCCGTTGTCTTTTATAGTGACGATAGAGGAGCCACACACAAGCAATCACTTCCACATCCATTTCCAAACCGAGCCAGTGCGCACGCTCCGCTAAACACTGGTCGAACGCCGAGCTAACGCGCGTTAGCTCGGCGTTCGACGAGCATTTAACGCGCGTTTAAAAACGCCTAGTGTGTACACAGCCTTAATTGTCTTTCTTCATCACCTGGTGCCAATCGATATCTGTCGAGGGGGCGTGGGAGAGGTCAACTTTGTGACTAAACCCAACTCCTCTCTAACCATGTTTCCCTTGACTTTGGCCTTTTCAACACCATTTTTCTTTTGTTTTAATATTTTACAAAAAAAACAAAAAAAAAAAAACAAACCCTTATTGTTTAAACAAGACCTTTAATTCCTCCCTTTTGTGTTGTAAAAGATTTTTAAGATCTAGTTAATACCTCCATTCAGACCTTCAAGTCAACCCCAGTCCGGGTCCTTACATATTGATTTAGAACATCCGATACCATCAAAGTGTGGCCGTCGGCCATAATATTGTATAAAATATATTAATTTTAGTTAGTTTTAAGTTTCTTTGTTCCTTTATTTCTTACTTTTCTAGAACATTCCTTTCCAACCTTTTCCCTTGGGTGGGATTAACAATCCCAAGAAATGGGAATGGAACAAAGGGTGAAGTGGGACCCTAAGGCAAAAAAGAACAAAGGAAAGAGCAGTCGAGGTGGAACTCTCGAGGAGGACTGACGAGAGAAGGTAGTGCTCTGGATCGCGTGTGAGACGATCGGAGACTACGAAGCTAAAGGAGAAGTCTGGGCTCGAAGTCCGTAGAATAAGGACGGAGAAGTGGTGCAGCGTCAGATTGAGTGTAAAACAATTAGAAGCTACGAGGAGCCAGCGAATCGATAGGAAGAAACTCTTATAATAGAATTTTAGAGGAAGCCATCGAAAGAATCGTACGAAAAGACATAAAGGAAGGACGAGAGACAACGTTCCACGGAAAGGTCCACGTGGTGTTCCACCCAAGGTTTCGAATTCAAAGTCCCGGGTATTTCCTTCTCCCTCTTATACTTTATTATTTCTCTACTCTCCTTTTTTTTTTCCTTTTTAGTCATAAGTAGTGTAAGAATTATTTGTAAGTTTTTGTATCGCGTATAGTCGTAACCCTCAATTAATCCGCTGTTTGTTAGATCGAATTTTAACGCCTGTACGTACAGTGATCATTGTATTGTTGGGATCTGGAAGAAACGAACCTGTTTCGAAGTGACAATAAATATCTTTGTGTTCAATACATCCAAAGTGTATTTATTTCGTACCTTTCCGCTCGCGGGACATTGTACTTGTCGCAACGAAACACCACAAAAGAATACTATAGAGTATTTGTCTAATAGACTAAGCAAATTTGGTCTGTATGTGAAATACTGTTGATTTTACATGAAATTTTTAGCTCTCGAATCCAATCTCTTCCAAGGAGATTAGCTTTCCCATGGCAAACCACATAAAAGTGAAGTTTATGATAAGAGTGATTGTAAAGAACTAGTATGATAATAAATTCTAATACATTCAACTTGAAATTCCCATATGTGCAAAGACAATGTGTGACTGTCGGCCATATATATATATTTTTGTATATATCAAAACTTGTATATTTATATAGTCATAATTTTATTCTATTTCAGTGATTTCCTCTATTTCTTTCTTATATCCGTTTCTTGAACTTTCTGGAATGACCATTATTGCCTTTGGATAGGATTAGCCATTCCACAAACAGGAGAACAATAGGAGGTAGGGTGACCGGGTGAAAAATTACTGACGAGTTGGTCAGTTTTGGACTGGAGACCAAAGGGGTTAGATGCATCGTTAAGAAGGTCAAAGGGAGATCTAGACAAGAGGATTGTGAGGAAAAAGACTGTTAAGAAAGGAGGTGCGAAAGGAGATCCATACTAGTGAAAGGTTCGAAAACATGGCAAGAGAATTCAAAAATCGAGAACCCTGCGCTCAGAAAGGAATCAATGAGACGGCAAGTACAATAACCTCCAAAAGAATTCCTACCCAAAGAGTATACCAGCGCAGACAAAAGAACAAATCCCGGGTGACTGTAGACTTCTATTCTTCCTCATTCCTCGCTTTCATATCCCTATTTCTCTCTTTAGGTTAAGTTAATTTTAAGGTAGTTTAAGAGTTAGTTAAGTAAGATTTACATATGCGGTTAGGCTAAGAAAATTGTTACGTGACTATTCTGCAGGAAAGTTATATTCCTGAATTGTATGAAAATCCAACCAAAAAAAAATCCTGATATGACACACCTCAAATCTTGTAAAGTTTTACAAGAACAGTTGGAATTCTTTAGAACCTAACCTGTTCATCGTGAATAAAGAAATTATTGTGTAACCTAAGAAGTTGTCGTGTGACTTACAAATAAAAGAAGAAATCTTTTGTTTGTATGTTTCCTTCGCAGGCAACATCAAATCATATAACGAACTACCACAAATGTTCAGACTCATGTAGAGAAAAGGATAAGAAATCTCTATTGAAAATGGATTCAGGAATGATGGAAAATGGGGAGCCAGTATCAACTTCAAATCTAATGTCTTTCCCATTAATGGATAAAATGAGGACAGTGGGTGGGACTGGTGTGGATACATCTTGAATATTGAAAAAGGTTTAAATAAGTAGGATTATCTATTTCTGCATAACTATTTGATTCTTTGTGGATACGAGATAGTTGATGTACACTCACATGAGGATGCTTAGTTCTTCCACATACTCTTGCAATATGGCCAGTCTTGCCAAATTTATTACAGGAGACTGCTCTGAATTTACAATTCTCACGGGAATGGTCTGTGCTTCCACATGATCTACAAATGTAAGTACAGGTTTTCTTTGTTTTGTACTTAATTTTATCTCTAGGACTATTCTTGCTAATTTCTTTCTTTCTGTTAGAGAACTTTGTGGAACGAATTTTAAAACAATCATTTTCAAATGGCAATTTATTGAAACAACCTGCATCAATCAGAGCTTGTTCCATAGCGATAGCATAATTGATCGCTTTCTGAAGATCTAATTCTGACTCATTTTTAGCAAATAAATTTGAACGAATCCTGGGGTTGTACAAACCTGATACGAATTGATCTCTTAAACATGTCGCAAGGGAGTCTCCGAAATTGCACTTTTCACTTAAGGATTTTAAATCAACTATAAAATCATTAATCGATTCTCCTTTTTTCTGTACCCGGCAGTAAAGTTTGCTCTCTTAAAAATTATACTAACTGATTTATTTTTATGAAATCTCATTATACTTTTTAAGTTGGAAAATGTCTTTGAGGAAGGTTTATCAGGTTGGCAAAGGTTTCTTAACAATTTATACCGGTCCCATCTTACTAAGAAGAGTAGCCACCATTTTCCTATTGTCAGTAATATTAGATGCTATAAAGAATTCTTCCAATTGTTCCACATATTCATCCCAATCACTATTTACCTTATAAGGATTAATTAACATTAATTGCATTTGCTATTTCCGAAATTTTTCCGCAGAACGAATAAACGGAAAATAATAAGACAATTTAGTAACTTACAAGTCAAAGGTTCAAAAGTCTAATTGAACGTAGCCACGTGTTAATTTCACTGATGAAGGGAACAATAGTATCCTTGCTGAAAACTTGAATAAATAGACTATTTTCTATCCACCTTGTCACCAGAATTGGTAAATATGATTGTCAGAATTACATGTAAATGGATGGAGATGGATTCACAAGGACACGGAGGTAACAGTAGCATGACTTTATTGAACAAGAGTGTGAACAAGAATGTGTGTGTTATGCAGGCATGCTTATAATATATATAGGTTGCTTATAGAGGGCACTGTAGTATATAGCACTACCTAATTGGACTTTTAGTAAAAATTCTGTATTACTGAACTATTTTTTCTGGCAATTTGAATTAGTTTTTTTTTATAAGTAACTAGTATGAAATTTTTTTAAAAATTAAAATAGCAACAAACTGACAATTGAAAATTTAACTGTTCATCTCTAATATTAATTAAAAACATATTATTTTTAAATAAAATTTGATTAAAGTGCAGCTTAAGCTTAATTATTTATTTGTTAGCATTTTAATGTCAGAAAAGTAATTAAATGCAATTGTTCAGATTATGAAAATTGATATTATGTATGATTTAGAAATTCTCTAATATTGGACAATATTAGAGAATTTCTAAATCATACATAATATCAATTTAACTGTAAATATACTTAGAAATATCAATTTAACTGTTAATATACTTAGAAATTCTCTAATATTGGACAATATTAGAGAATTTCTAAGTATATTTTATTACATTTATTGATAATCAATAAAAAACATAACTTGTAAAATTTATAAAAAAAATAACCTTTTTACACAAATGAAAAGTTGGAATTAGGTCTAGACTAATTAGGTAATTGCCTAGGGCTTGGATCCGATGGGACACACAAATCTATTTTTCAATTATAAAAAAATAAAATTTGAAGAATATAGTGAATGTTGTGAATGCAATAATGTTTGCAGCTTTGCTGAGAAGATCCAGTGATAAATATAATAAAATTATTCACTTGTTTCGAGTGGCCAAATTGCAACTGTTGCCTGGGGTCCAAATTTTTCTTAATTCAACTGTGATACAAATGATGAAATATAGGATTACTTTACGTAATATTTAGAGTTTCAGTAACACTGGATATAATTTAACTTTTCATAAAATAACCTTACCATTTCTGGTTGCATATTGGTTAGAACTCTTGTCACAATGTAATCATTCCTTTCATTCATCATACAAGTAACATGTCCTGGTGGTAAAGGTCCATTTCTATCTATGTCAATTTTGTACGATCCTGTTTGTCTGTATCCAACAAGATAAAGTTCCTCACAAGTGCGCTTGTAAATTGCTGCAGGATATAATAAAAAACAAAATGCAATTAAATAAATCTAATTGTATAAAATAAATGTATTAAATAGTACTATATATTTTGCAGTTGGTAAATAATTAATTTGAAAGAATGTTTATAACTTTCGAGGAGTTGTCACGTTTAACAAATGAAATAAAATTCAAAAGATTATCTTGATAATATTCGCTTAAACTGAGTGTACATTTCATATTTTTCAGATGCTAATTTCAATTAATAAAATAATTACTTAATTTATGAATTATTTTTTGAGTTCAATAACTTCTATTAAAACAAAATATTTTTAATAGGGTCATAATAAATTAATAAGGTAAAATTCAAAATGACATAATTGAGTAAGGCAATTGTGGGGTTCCAAAAATGGGTTGGAATTAAAAATTTATTAAAACAAAACTTCCATTGTTAAAGCCAATCAAACGTCAGATTAGTTGTGCAAGTCGTATGAGACGGAGAAAAGAAAAAACAAATTAATGTCAAATGCAACACAATCAATGTAGACGAACGTTGACCAGTAGAGATAGACCTTTGACAAAGCGCTGGTATACAAGCAATTAGAACATAGCAGTGGCGTGCCATGACATTTGATGATAGGGAAGCTGTGTTTCTGTAAGAAGCTGACTTCCAGGGGAAATCAGTTTATTGCACATCAGCAATTGTCTAGGGTCCATTCGTATTCATTTGTTTGATAAGCCAGTAAAAATCGTAGACTTCTTTAAATGTATTTTTAATAACACAATTATATTCTGAATCGCTAGCCATGATAAAAGGGCTAAAATTAAAAATAAAATTAGAAAAACTTACTCGTTGAAATAAAATGTGTGGTGGATATACATACCTGGTACAAAACATTCTTCAATTGTATGAATATACTTTTAAAGAAAATTATAATTAAATATCGTACATAAAAATATAAAATATTCTTTACTTTTTAAATCTTAAAACAATAAACATCATCCAAACCCGATATATAAAGCTACAAACCAACAGACTGCCGAAAATCTATCGGGCTAGTTTTATGCTAATTATTAAATAAATTACGTAATCAATTTGGCACTAGAGGTAAGCGTTAGGCGCCATCTCTTATTAATATTAATAATTATAAATAAATTAATTAATTTAAATAATTTAGAATAAAACTAGCCCGATAGATTTTCGGCAGTCTGTTGGTTTGTATCTTAAAACAATGCACTTAGTCAAATAGCTCCCTACGAGTGGCTAATGGATGGAATCACAGACAGTCCTGATAGGTGTGCAGTGTGTGCATGCATGCATGTAGGCTGCCAAATTCTGAAGGTGCCGATACTGGTTGCATCACTAGTATATATCAAAGGATGTGGCAGAGTTGTTGTGAATTTTAAATGTTTCTCACCATAGCTGTAAAAATCTAAATATGTTAAACTTAATAGATTGTCTATTATTTGTTTTCTAACTACTTCATTTTAGGACTGGGTGACCACGAAAATTTCCAAAATTTACAACTTTTCGGTCACTCTCATTGAACTGGAAAAATTTCTGTCTTTATTACATCTAATATTATGAAGAAATCAGTCCCCACTGTACTCAGCTAGAGATTGGTTCAGTTAAGCTTTTGTTTAAGTAAAATTCCAGCTCTTTTGGCAGGGTTTTATTTATGTCCCTAATTCCCTAATCTCTTAATTATTTAACTACTACTTTAGTAGAAATAAGTCAAAACTGGTTACTTCATACTTGAATATTTGTAGTCTTGGGAAAGAAGTGGAAAGACAAATTTTTATGACAATGGATACATAAATCGTAAATTTAAGGAAAATAAATTATAGAGTTTTTTTTGTACCCTGTGCATCTTTCATTAAATTTAGTTGTAAATGATGCTGCCAAAGTAACAGTTCATTTTTTTAACATTGTACAAGAATTGTGCACGTTTTTTCTGCATCCACTTATAGATGGGACATACTAATTCATAATATCACTAGTTTAATATTGAAATCTGTAAGTAATACAAGATGAGAGAGCAGAATAAAAGCAAAATAAATATATCAAATATTTTAATGGACTTTTTTAAAACCTGTCAACTATACAGAACTATCATAAAAACATACCAATAAACTCCTGTTGGTTGGGTTAAGTTATAAATCTACTCGTGATTCATATAATGGGGCAAGAGTGGCCAAATATCTAGCAGGCAGGCAGCTAACAGTTTAAAACTGGTCCTGGATAAGATAAGATAAGTATAAAATTAAGTAGAGGGCTGTCTGTTCAAGACATACTTAGCCCTATAGTAAGGAAAAGAAGTGAGAAGAAAAGTGAAAGTAACTAGATTAAGAAAAAAGGAGGTAAAGGAAGGCAAGTGTAGGGTTCCATTTATTAAAAACAGAAATAGATACATAAATTAGCTACATTGCCTAATACAGATTACAGTATTTACATAGTAATTGATCCCGATACATTTATAGAATACAAATGGTTACAATAGTTTGTACAACAATCAGGTTATAGAATAAACAAAACAATTTTTTAGTAGTTTTACAGAAAACAGCAACTTGGTTACATGGCTAAAAGATACAGTATTAACATTAATTATCAATTTACATTTTAAATACAAATATTAAAACAAAAGATTACCATGGTTACAATTCCATATAAAAACATAGAGTTTTCAAAGATGAATTTAATATTTTAGATACAGACAAAATGGCTACAATAACTAAAAACAATGTGAACATTACAAAATGGGCAAATACATTGCAAAAGTGAAAACAAGTGGCTACAATGCCTAACAGAGAAACAGTATTTTCATGGGGGTCTGTTCATTTCAGAGTTCATCTTCGCTATTGGTGAAACTTTCATCACTGATATCCTTGCTTGTATTGTCCTCAGAATCGGGTAGGCTATTCCTGGTCTGTGATTGTTCACTGCTTTGCGAAGGGATTGCTAGTTTCCCAGTATTTTTGATGAATTCAGTGAGATGACACAAGAGGTCCTTGTTGTTGAATAGGTCATTTTCATGTGGAGGCCAAGTCACCTCCCGCATTATGCATTCCTTATAAAGCTGCTGCCGTTTATCTTCATAGTTAGTGTAGTAGTATAAGAAATGTGTTACATTGTCTTCAATGTTGTCTATCTCACACGTGTTTGTTGTTGCCTTACCGAACCTGAAAAGATACGACCCAAAGTTTCCATGCCCAGTGAAGCACTGGGTGATTTCACAGTCCAGTTTAAATGTCTTATTTTTTTTCCTATCCTGTATCCTTGGGATGAAGTTGTAACAACTTCTCCCAGTGATGGAGATCTCCTACTCCTTTGCCACAGTTCTTTGACAATTTCATGATGATGTTTGTGTATTTCAGTCTTTGGTACCTTACTATACGTAATTTTGAAACCAGTAGTTGTAGCTTTTTTCGCTAGTTTGTCGGCCCTTTCATTCCCCTCATGTCCCCCATGAGCTTTGATCCATTGTATAGTTAAGTTATTTGTGCCTGCTATTCTTTGGGCTAGTTGTATTGTCTCCTTAGCTAATGTTGAGTTTTTCTTCTTGTTTTTTAAAGTATGTAACACCACCCTACTGTCTACATTTACTTCTATCCTTTCTTTGGCGTTGTTCATTTTTGTCTCAATGTAGGCTAATGATCTGTTGACAGCTTGGGTTATGGTGCAGTGAGGAGCCATTTTTAGGCTCGCCTGATAGACATGTTTACCTTTATTGTTTGTGATTATAATGCCTGCTCCAACTCCAGTTGTTGTCTTGGAGCCATCAGTGTGGATGATCCATTTTGAGCNGCAAAAAACAAAGGACGGAACAAGAGAAGTTGACCCTGCAAGTTCTGGTAGTCTCTCCTGAATCTGACTCCGATTAAAAAACAATAAAAAAAGACCCACTGCAATGTATAAAAAGTCTGTATCTGTATGAATGTGTTCTTCCACCTCCTCCTCACAACATCTGACTACCCGGCATAATTGGTGTCTGCTCCATTTTCATTTTTTATGGTACAGTACGGTTATTTTATGCTGCGGAACAAATTATATGTTTTAACATGTATTTCTGTGGGAAAATGCGTTTCGTATAACGGACGTTTCACTTAACGGACGTGCACCCGGAACGGATTAAGTACGTTGTACGAGGCACCACTGTACTTGATTATAACCTCCATAAACTCCATCATATGGGATCTTGATACCTTTTTCTCCTCATCAACCAAACTCTATAATTTATTTTCTTTTTTTTTATATTTCTTTATTTCCCCTTCTTTAGATAGATTCTTCTAGATGTATTTTATTATTATATTTTACAAACATATACACATACTATATGTCCATATTAATGGTCCCTGCACTAGTTGAATCATCTTAGGTCCCACATCCTCCTCAGGATAATCCTGCATTTCAATGATCTCAGTTCAGAGGTCAAACAATCGCTAAACTTTTTAATAGTAGTAGAAAGATGATAAATTCAAATAATGAACTTAATTTATAACTTTACGTAAAACTTAACTGGCCTTAATTCAAACTTTTTGGTGTGGAAGAACTTTTTGGTCAAACTTTTTGGTGTGCAGAATTAGGTTGATGGGATGAGGAAAAGCACAAAACATGGATGCCTTCTGGGAGGACTTTCCATGGGAAACTGTCCTAAATATAGATGTTAGACACATTTGAAGAAACCCAGAAAATTCCATGCAACTGGCCCATTGGTCAAACATGAAAGTGTGAAACCATTTAACAGTGTATTCAGTAGTTTCATTTACTCAGCTAGCTTTTCAGTTTGTGACTTGAAATCCCTCGTATTGTATATTTAGTCCAAAGTGGTTGAGTGGGACCTGATGTACCAAACAGCAAGATGTCGACTTGAACGTGAGAAATCTGTCTCTTTTTGAATATGTATACTGCACAAACACACACAGAGATGCATGCCATGTAGCAACAAATACAAAAGATACAATACTTTAATTCTATCTTCACACAAACACCAGAATTAAAAGATTCCAAAAAACATTATTTAAAACTTGAGTTCTTTCATTAAAACAATTAAGTTGTATGTAAAACGTTTGAATTTATAATTCAAACTTTTAATTTATTCTGCACTTAAAACCAATATCCAAAAGAAAATACAAAATTTTTATAGTTTCTTGCTGAACACTTTGTTTTATGCGTTGTGTTTGTGCTTATTTACATGTACCCAATTTGAGTTGTTAAATTTAATTTATTTGCTTTTTAAAATTACAGTAGAGCATCGTTTATCCGAATCAATTGGGGACTCAGGTCATTTGGATAACTTATTTTTTGGATAACTGATTATGTACGAAAAAATATATTAACCTATCCCATGTTGAAATTTTTCTTCATTGCGTGTCGCTTTGCATTGAATTTCCGTTGATGTTAAGCCTAATGTAAACTTTTTAAAATAATAATCGTGGCTATTGTATTGTTAAAAATTATTTCTTTATTTTTTACAAACAAAATAAATATATTGAAAAATATAAAAACCAAAAAAATCATACTTTAGAAGTTAATCTAGTATCAAAAACAGAGTCCTCAGAAAAACACCACACAAAAGTGTCAGTGCTGCCAGCTAAAACACACATCAACAATAAAAATATTGGAGTAACCCAAGATATAGCCAAAGATTGCAGCGCCACAGCACTAGTGAAAATTTAAATTTGTCAACTGGAATTCTTTCGGATAAACGATGCTCTACTGTATTACATAAGTTTGTATTTAAACAAATTCAATAAATAAATTTTTTCTTCTTTCTTTGTAATTGAATTTTGATCTATTTCAAGTGAATATTACTTACAGAAATGACAAGTCTTTCCAGTATATCCTGTTCCCGTACAATTACACTTCGTATCTCCATTTTCTACTATGCATTTTCCACCATGTTCACAAGCTTGAGGATTATTACAGGGATTAACCAGTTGACAATTATCAAGCGAAACTTTTCCTTTGGCATTTTCTGTTCCTACAACACCTCTTGGATCGAGCCATTCTTTATTTATGTAAATATCTCTCATACAACCAACAAAACCTGAAAAGAAGTAATGTCAGTTTTTAAATATTTACATATTTTCAATAATTTAAATTCAAATGAATATTTAAATATTTTGCTATTATTAACTCTAAAGCAAACTGCTTTATTTTATTTTAAAATTTGATAATTGAAGAAAGCATTATGTTGATGAAGTTGATGATGGCATTATGTTACAATTATTCAAAATCTGATTGTCCTGCTTAGAAGATGACATGTATCTATCTATCACCAAGCAATATCAAAGATCTCACAAATTAAATGACACTCAAGATTTATCAATGGATGAAGGAACTATGTTACATTATATAAGCTAAAATTACATAATAAAAAACTTGAACATCAATAAACTCAAAACTTTTGTAAAATAATATCTTTATCCACTTGTGTCTTCAATTTTTGTTATTAGTTGATTGTATCTCTTAAAATTTCATGTAATAATATTTTTTCTCTCTCTGATCAAATGATGATTTTGTTGGAATCAATGATTGAAGTCATTGCTAAATGTAATATTAATGCATACATCACATTATGTTGCGACAATTTTTGTAAAGTTATTCTATTACATAATAAAAGGTTGGTGGCACTATTAACACCTTGGGAAACAGTTACCTCATTTTACTCTCCCTGTTCTAGTGTTGACCTTCTATTAGTTAAGTCTATATAATTTTTATTCTTTTGTAACACAATCAGTTATACGAGCATAAACAGTTTTACACAACCACTACTAAATTATATGCATTAAGGTTCGGTCACAGACATTACACATTAGAATAAAATGTTTATTGGGTGAATCAGCTGTGTTCTGAAAGGTAGATATTGTGTTGTCAATCAGACATCCAGTTCAAGAGTGACATGTTAAATCCCATGCACTTTTCTCCAGCACACTCTAGTGGTATGTTTTACTTTTAATAGTGGGTTCATTAATTAACAAAAGTGATTAAAAAGTACTTAAAATTACACAAAAACATAGAAAGTGTGTAAAATTATATATTTTTTAATCACTTCTGTTATTTTTGTAATCCTTTTATGTAAATGTACAGTTATGCAATATCTATTTTATGTATTATTTATTTCTTTGTTTATAATATTTACTTATTTAATCAATTGATTTTATTTGTGTAATTCTATCTATGTAAATCTACAGTTGGGAGATATCTGTTTTCAAAGCTTCTGATATCAATAGAAGATAAAAGTTGTTCCAAACTTTTATTTAGTTGTAGATGTTCGATTTGCTTAATGTTTAAACTTGACCCAGGGCACTAAATATGGCCAAAAATGTTTGTATATAAAAGTGTTGCTGCTGGAAAAAGTGTGAATGGTGTGATTTATTACACATAAGTTCCAGTTTACATATTGAAAAGTACAATCTGATTAAATTAGGTTTAGATTTTATGAAAATTATGTATTTACCAAATAAGTAAACTGGAATAAAGAAATAATATTCTTATAATAATTTATTAGATTAAATTAAAAATTGCTAACTGCTCAGAAGATAACGGAAAACTTAGAAATAATGTCAAGTTATTTTTAACTAGATAATTTGGAAACTTACCCCTTGTTATATTCTGAGCTTCACTTCCAATCACAACATCAGTTGTGAATTTGAAATCTTTATCATATACTCCAGTTATAATATGTCTAAAGTCAATCTTCATTTCAAATGTTTTGCTCCTAGAGGCATAAATAACACTTTATAAATTGTTCTGAAGCTATATACAGGATGCATAGTAAAGTCCTTATACACTCGTATAAATGACAAATGCAGATAACTATAGTTACAGACATGATGTATATTTATAGTAAAATGCCTCTTCACTACAAGATGAAACTACTTGTGGCTTTCCTAGTGGTAAAATTTGGAAGTTTGTGCTCCTACGTCAAAAAACAACCCACAATATGGAAAAAGTGAATTACAAATTTGTAGATCACAACCAATTCAACACAAAAGGACACCCTATGTATGTAAATAGCATGAAATGCTAATATGCATATCAAGCACAGATGGTAAAATATGAATTTCTTTTATGTTTATTCACATGTTCTCATTCATTTCTCATGTGTTTATTTATACTGTATATGTATTTCTTATTTTCCATTTCTTCATTCTGCATTCTTTACTGTGAGTCACATGTTGTGAATCACTCACACAAAGTCAGTGTATAAGGATTTACTCTGCACGTTGTGTGTGTAATATATATATATCATATATCATTAAATAATTTTCCTCATCAAGTTTGTGAAAATTAATTCAAAATAAAATTATGTATTTTGCTTTAATTTTCCCAAACCTTGTTTTATAAGTATTACAGTATATCAATATATAATTATATATATATTTCATCTCTAAATCTGATTTATAGTTAATTCAAACCAAATAATCCGTCAAATTATTGGGCAATTATATTTAGCCATATAATTGCCCAATAATTATAAACTAATTAATTTTTCTTGAGGTAGGCAGTTATGCTACATTCTCATGTTAATTTTAATAATTATAATCAATTAATTTTTTAAAATTTAGAATATAACACAAGATGACAATGTAAAGTTTAATTTTCTAAACAGGAAGTTGAGTTAACATCAAATCCAATGTGGCAGTATGCCATTTTATATATATTAATTTAAGTATAGTTTTAGTCCTCTTCTTTGTTCCTTCTTGCTTCCAGAACCTTCCTTTCTAACTCTTTTCCCTTGGGTGGATGACCGATTCTTGGAACCACGGAGAACAATGAAAGAAAAGAGGCCCTGAAGGCCGGTGAGAGAAGGAAAGGACATTCTTAGGTTATGGGTACAAGTTTCTCTTGCTGAAAAAGAAAAAGAAAAGAAAGGAAAAAAAGAAAAATAATTGAAAAGAAATATGGCAGGAGAAAGCATGAATGTTGAAGACATTACACACGGCGAGGTATATATATATAAATAACAACATTCAAAGCCCAAATAGTATACTAAATTGCCAAACGATCGCCTAAATATTGGGCTAAGTATTTTATTCTAATCATTTAATTAGCCATATAATAGCCCGATATTTAGGCAATCGTTTGGCAATTTAGTATACTATTCGAGCTTTGAATGTTGTTATTTATATATATATATACCTCGCTAGGTGTTATGTTAGCTGGCTGAGTGCCATTGCGGGTCATGGGCGATGAAGTCGTCCCCAGTCAGTGATGTATTTAACCAAGTAAGGTTATATCTAATCTAATATAATTCTGGAAGCGAAGACTCGCTCGGAGTCCGAGTGGCGTAACTGGCAAGCGCACCGCACGGCAAACAGAGGTTGCGGGTTCAAGCCCCGTCCCAGGCCAGTTCTTTTATTCCAGAATGTTCTAAAATTAATTTAATAATTTATTTATTTAATTTTAATTATTAATTTACTTAAGAGATGGNTGTTGTCTTGGAGCCATCAGTGTGGATGATCCATTTTGAGCTTTTACTTTTTGTGTTTGTCATATCGAAGATAATTTTGTACTTGTTTTCGTCAGATGAGTGGATAAACTGTTTGTAGTTCTTTTCTTCTTTCTCTATGCTGTGCTTTTTGATGTCCTCTATCCATTGCTCACTATTGGGTGGGAGGATACCATTTTTGATGTGTTGTTTTGTTGTTTCCACATTGAGGTCTTGCAGGTTGATGTTTGTTGTGTACCATCTCCACACCACTTCCCTCGCTCTAAGGTGTATTGGGAGCAGGTTGGCCAGAACACAGAGAGCATCTGTCGGTGCTGTTCTATAAGCCCTGCAGACTTTAATGGTTGTTCTCTGTTAGATCAATAAAATTTTCTTCCTTATGTGAATGATGTTTAGGGCTTTGTGCCATACCTGGACTCCGTATAAAATACCTGGCTCCACTGAGGCCTGATAAATTAGTCTACTGCTTCTAAACTCAATCCTCATGCGTTTCTTGAGATGTGTGACAAGAGGTTTGTTTTTTGAACCATTTTTTTATACATATTATTTACATGATCATGCCAGTTGATTTTCCTATCAAAAATTATTCCTAAGTACTTCATTTGGTTGACATTTTTAAAGTTATAGCCATCTATGTGTACCCCCAGTTGCCTTTTAAGTTGGCCCTGCCCCCATTTTTTCGTACACACCAGCAATTCGCATTTATTGTAATTTATGGGCTGTTTATAGGATTTACTCCACTCTGATATTGCTTTTAATTCTTTATTAGCCTCTTCCGTCAGTCTGTCACGGTTTTTATGTGCAACTATAAGTAGCACATCATCTGTGAAGGCCTGGATCTTGGTGTGCTCTTTTTCCTCATAATCATTTAGCATGCTGTCGAAGGTGAGGTTCCAGATCCCAGGGCCACTCCTTGAGCCCTGTGGGCATCCTCTGTTTATTTTTATCTCCACAGTTATATTACTCATGTAGTAGCCAGCTATTCTATCAGTTAATAACTTTGTAATGTTGTCTGTAAGATTTTTGGGCATTTTACCTCGTTTAACCTTTTGAAAACCCCTGGCCACCATAGGTTATCAAATGCCTTTTCAAAGCTATACTAACGAGTAGCGTATGTTTTTCTTCTTTCCATGAGTTTTGGATGAATTTTTTTGCTTCCAGTGCAGTATCTATAGTGGATCTGCCTTGTTTGAAACCATATTGTTTTTTATTTGTGTTGTTGCTATTGTTAAGGTACCAATTAATTCGGTTTATAATTAGGCCATCCATTATCTTTCCCATCACAGGAAGAAGGCTAAGTGGCCTGAATTCCTCCTGTTTGCTGGCATGTTCTGATTTAGGAATAAATTTGACATTAGCTTTTTTCCATATTTTGGGGAAGTAATTGAACCTTAAGCATTCATTGAATAAAAATATGAATGCAATTGGAATTTCACTGAATGCAGCTTTAATCATTTCTGGTGTTATTCTGTCTAAGCCCGGTGATTTCCGGTTGGCCAGGGTTTCAATTGCCTTTTGCACTGCACTTCTCTGAAGGTGAATGGAACATTGTCTGTTGTTGAGTTTATTTTATTTAGATTTCCTCTTATATCCTTGTGTTTGTCGTTTTCTTCTTCTTTGTTCTCAGACGGGAAATGAAATTTGAGGATGTTCCAGATGTTTTCGGTAATATTTGGATTGTTATTTTCACTGTTCCATTCCAGGAGGTTTGGGATTTGAGTTTTCTTGTTTCAATGAAAAGCCACCTTATAAGGAATATCCCACGGGTCATTTTTGTGAGTTTTACTACAAAATTCTTTCCATGCCTTTGTTCGTGTGTTGTTTATTATTGCTTTTTGTAGGTTTTTAGTGTTGTTCTGTAAGTTTATTTCATTCTTTTCTCCTCTTCTTTGTTTCTCGATCTTTCCATTTTTTTCCTGATTTTTCTGACCCTCCTTTTGTATGCTGTCAACTCGCTTGTCCACCAAACTTTTTTTACCTCTGTTTTCTTAGGTCTGGCTGCTTGTTGGCCAGCCAATTGAATTGCTCTTGTAACATGGTCTATGCAGCTGTCTACATCCTCTGTTGTTTCTGCTGGTTTGAAAGTGAAGTTTCTCCAATTTCTTGCAAAGTTTTCACGAAAGAGCTCCCAATTAGTGAGTGTTTGTATCCTTTTGCCTGTATTGTTATTGAGTATTTTTGTGCCTTTAATTTCAGTTAAAATAATTCTGTGGTCACTGGTAGTAGTAGTTGTAAGGGTTTCACAGGAGTTGATTTTATGCATGAAGTCATTGGATATCAGACATATGTCGTTCCATCTTTTGGCAAAGACAGTAAAAAACATGGGGATAGTACTCATGTTCCCCGACACCAGGTCCATTTCCTCCATTAATAAATTTAATTGTCTTCCCCTCTCATCCTCCTTGGGGCTGAACCAAATAGTAGCAGGAGACTTAAATGCAAAATCACCTATTAAGGTCTTACTATTTATTTTTCTTAGAATTTGTTCTAGATTTTTGATGGATTCGATGTAGTCTTCACTAGGTGCCAGGTAAATGCTCATGTATATCTCTGGCTCCTGATGTAAAACTGTGGTTGTAATTATGTTATTAGAAAGATGAGGGACCAGAACAATGTCAATGTTGTCGTTCCTAACAATAATCCTGCTCTTTGGCTTTTTTTCCCCTTGTTTCGCCAATATCTGCCAGCCCCCGAATCTCACAATTTTATTATTGATTATATAGGGCTCTTGTATGAGGAGTATGTCTGCATCTAGTTTATTGGCATTTTCAATTAGCAATGAGCTTGTCGCTTTGCTCCTCTGTAAATTAATTTGTAAGATTCTGATGCTTCGGCTGTTTGTATTAGTTGTAATATTGTCGGAGAGGTTGTACACTTGTCTCAGTGTTGTTGTTGCTCTTTTGGATGGCATAGCTGGTGGTTAGACTGAATGGGTGGTTATCCAGAGTATGATATTGTTGACAGTGACTATATTCCATAATTTGTTTGCTTGATTGTCTGTCTCTTCATTTTGATAGTTTGGGGGTACTGTGGGTCGAAAGCATTATGTCTGGTGTCATACCTCTGGTAGTCTGGGGGTTCTTTATTAATTGCCTTACAGTTGGTGCAGCATTGGGGGGGTTGATCTAATCTTTGACAATCACTAAACCTATGTGCCTTCACACAGTGGCTGCATTTTTGCTTCTGTGGGCAGCTGGTGGAGAGGTGATTATATCCGCAGCACTGGTAACATCTTACCAGCGGAATATAATCATTCACGTAGATGTTCGCCCATGATATTGCTATGTGTTTAGTCCTGATGAAGATGTCCCTTATTTGTGGGGTGGTCGAAAGGACCACGTGCCTGCAGTTTTATTTCGTTTTTTATTTAGAATGGTGCTAACCCGTGTCAAACTGTTATAGTCTTCTTGTTTTACTGCTTCAAATAGTTTGTTTTGGCTGTAATTATTGGAATTATATCCGACTCGTCTATTGAATTAGGAACATTTGTGAGGATGATCCTAGGCCACCTTCCCTCGGAAATTTTACTTTGTACCTTTTTAGATATATCAGGGATATCCTTGATAGCCTTTGCCAGGACCTCAGCCTCTTTCTGAGTATCTGTCTGAAAGCAAATTCCATCTCCTTTGACCTGTTTTACTCTTTCAATTTTTATTTTTAATTTCTGGGGCTCTATCTTTTGTTTAATATCATTTTTGATTTTCCTCATGTCAGTTGAGTTTCCTTCCTTGTGTGTTTTAGGGTACAGTAGAAGGGCAAAACTGCCTCCTGTTCCTTCATTATTTATTTTTTGAGCTAGGGAACAAGAGATTGCCTTAGTGGTCGAGCTTGGACGTATACTTGGGTCTTTACAGAGAATATCAGCATAGATCAGTTCAGTGTGGCAGGATGCCAATGGCATAGTTTGTTTTTGTTTGGATCTAACCTCTTTAAGAATTCCATAAAGTTGTCCAAAACATGAGAAAAGCTGTGTCACCCTTTCCCTGATCTCCCGACATTCTTCACTTTTCAAGTGTATTCGATACGATTCAGGTAAAAGACCCAAAATTGTCACTAACTGTTCGTTGGCCTCACTAAAGATAGTGTCTTCGAGCGAATTGGTAAGCGCCTGAGGTTCAGGCGCAGTATCTATTGTGGGGACTTGGCACAACACAGAACAGTCAGTTAAGTTCAAAGTCACTAGGAAGAGTCAAAAACAGAAGGTCAGCGCGGCCCATGAGCTTGCTGATGATGACTATGGGGGGAGGACAAATCCAACAATGTGCACACAAAAAACTAACCTTTTATGAAGCATTAAACCAAAGATTTAAGCCAAAAACCAGTTGCGTGCAAGTTACCGAATTAGGTTCGAATAGGATGGCTCAGGTTAGGGTTGGTTACGACGGTGAGAACAAAAGCTATTTATTGTTCGGTTTTCCGAAGAGAATTAGTCATAATTCCATAAATAGTGCTTAAAACTACACCAAAACACAGCAACAGATAGCAAAAAAGTGCCAAGTGTGACACTCGGCACTCAGAACAAAGCAGGTGTCCAGCCAGAAGCCCGTGAAATGCAAAAGTTCGGGTCACTGTAAACCATTGAAAAAGAAAATCCGAATTATAATGAAATTTAAGTCACACGTACTCTATAGTAGCCTTTATCCACGATATATATTAAACTTTTCCTTTTTAAGATAAATGGTTTGCTAAGAAAGCGCGACCCGAAAAGTGTACCGTGAGACCATGTGGTCGCTGTCTAAAAACAACCATTATTCAGCAGATACTCAACCAATTTACACGGAATAAATGTTAAAAACAATCAGAAGGCATCAGTAACAGAATACAATACATCAAACCTACGATCTAGCAGTAATAATGTTGATGCAGGTAACCAAAATCAGAGTGAAGTACACACACGTCCAATGACGCCGATGGCCCTACCAGTCTTAACTGGTCCTGGATAGAATCATTGGAAGCATTATACGATATTTTGGTGTGTAACATCCATCTAAACTGCATGAGGTTGGTGCTCTGTAAAGAACATGCGCAAAAGCATATAATCTGGCTGCTTTACGCCATTCAGATATTTTTGCCGTGGAAGCTGTCCCGTATTCGACAATACAGCACTTCCATTTCGCCACTGATATTCAAATATACAATAGCAATCTTATCGTTTTTTCGCACGTAGTATAGAAATTTGTAATAAGATACATAATGCAGTTATAATAAAATATAAATTTTAATTAATTCAAAGTATGTTAAAACACGAAAATAATCGTACAATATGTATTTATATTTTAGAAAATACAAGGGAAATGGCTCTTCCACCGCTTCCAAGAATGGCATGCCACTGTAACATAAAAAAAATTTTGAAACAGGGAAAGGTTAATGATAAAGGGTACATCGTGTCAGGTCATTAAAATTCTAAAACGTCATAGACTAGACAATGAGGTAAAATATAAGTGCAGGTGTCAAAGTTCCATCCTTCTGTCCAGAGCTAACGGTTGGTGTCAAGTAGATTCTCTGACGCAGGTCTTTCTCATGGCCAGAACAGGTCTCGTCTTTCGCTTAGGGACAGGCGAGGGACCAATCGGAAAGTGAGAAAAAGGGATGTGGAGCTAATCAGAATGAACAAAAGAAAAAATGGAGACCAATATAATAATCCTCAATCTTCAAGGACAAAATCACTTTCCGCAAACTGTGCACCTGGCACACAGTTAGTCAAAACACAAAACACCGTTTCCGTCCATTGTGCTGAATCTGTAACCTGTGCCACTACAGACTCAGACCAACGGAGTCTCACCACCTGCCATTGCCCTGGGGCTACTTTCGATCGACGAACAAGAAACAACATCCACACATAGGATGTTGGAATAAACGATTGTTTTAAGGAAAACTATTTTTTCTTTTAGCGTAAGTTTATTTCATGTTAAAATAAATGGTTTTTGTAAGATACTTGTAACCTTTGTCTCTGCTGCCACTACCCACACACGAAAGGACCCTAGACCATCACTGACGCGAAATTAACTGATTTCCCCTAAAAGTCGGCTACTTACACAATTGGGCCCTTGTGCTTGAAGGACCTAGATCCCAAATATTAGAAAGCTTTATATTTTGCATAAATAATACAAACATTTTAATAAATCATGATACACTGAGAACATTTATAATTATTTAATATATTTCACAACCAAAAATTCTCACCCTTCTTCATAAATAATATACTGTGAAGTTTGAAGCGATGTATATGTGGTTCTGCGAACAGGAATACATAAAAAAACTCAATACAGTAAGGAACGATAACGATCCCAACTCACAGGCAGTAATTAAGTGTATACAACAATCAAATGGTCATGTGGTCGAGCTGACCAAGACATGACAATATTAGCACGAGGACTTATTGTGAACCGCAGGAGAGATCAGGGCCAGTCGCACCTCCCTGTTCTGCAACAGGTCGTTAAACTTGTTCACTGTCAAGATGGTTATTTTACGATAATGGTCCTGAGGGTTGGGACTCTCAAATGTCGGTAGAGTGGAGGGAGAGTATTTGGGGTCGATAAGGTGAAGGCCGTATATGAGTAAAGGAGTCTACCATTTTAACAAAACAAGAATTTATTAAAATAATCCAAATTAACAAAACTAAACACAAATCTCGACATTAAACTGCCTAACAGCTCAAGAGAGAGTTTACACGCTTTTTCATACCTCTTTATAAGTTTTCCTTGACGATTTAGTCTATGTAGGCACATAAATGTCCAATAAAAGGTGTCTTTGATCCAAATGAGCACAAATATAAAAGTTCGCAACTCTGGCGACGAACAGATATCGATGTTGGAGGATTGGAAGAGCGGCAGGTTCGGAGATTCGACTTGATATCATTGGTCCAGCTTTCGATAAGAGACTACCCCGAGAGGGGTAAGAATTGTCTTTTATAGCTTTTTGTGGGAAATTTCCATCACATGATTGAATGTTCTATGAGCTAAAGGTTACAGGTGTTCTAGGGACCTAAACAAGGGACGAAAGTTAGATGCTAACTATAAACTTTTGTGCAAGTTGAGCTGCAAATTATGTGAGAACAATAGAATGTTGATAATTATGACAGGAAGGTTTACACATTCCCAGCTGAGATCGGGTTTTTCTCCAATTCATTACATAAACGAAAGTGAACTAATTACAATTTTTGTTAATAAAATTCTGGATCTCGCATATAACTATGACTTAACCTAAATATAAACTAAGGAGGAGAAAAAGAATAGATGGTAAAAAATAGGAGAAGGGGAAGAAAGAAGCATCTGGGGATTTTTAGTCGTGTGTCTCAGGTGGGCCAGCGTTAACTGATATTCAGTTGATTCCTACATTTACCTGTATTTTTCTTCTCTACTGGACCAGTCCACCTTCCTTTGAAGTTTCCTTATAATTGCTTCACTCCAGATTGCTTGATGAAAAAATATTAGCTTTTGGAAAATTCTTCTCTGAACTTCACTCTTTATGTTACAATTCAGGAGCATTACGAAAGCTGACTCAACTCTATCCAATTAGGTTTTCTAGCTCTTTTCATAAGTCTTCATCGCCTCTGATCTCTCCACCCATAACCAAGAGCACACAATTGTACAATGCTTCCTCTTGTGTTGAGATCTAAACCAAAACCGAGCTTTTTCATTCTTTTGAACCCCCTGGGTTTCAGTACCTCCTTTATCTTACCACGTCCGTTCTGAGAATTGATTAAAAATTAAGAAAGTTCCAGAATAGTGAAGACAAAGAACAAAGAAAACACCAAGCCTAAAATATAAAATATATACAAAAACTATACATTAATATGGCTGATGGCAATACAAAAAGTGATAATTTTTCCATTATTTCTATGCAAGAATATAAGTTTATTTATAAATAAAATACGACATCTTCAATCACTTATTTTGTTGTGATTATTTA